ACAAGTCTCACAACCATGTGGAACTGCTGCACTGCCAAAAAAGAAGGAACATTTTACCTGGATTTATGGACAAGGCTGAAGGGTGAAGGAAAATTAAGCTTCTGCTGGTTGAGGGTGTCAAATGGCACAGCTTCTGTGTGGCTTTGTGCACACACATGGAGCTGCACAACACACACCACAGCAATGTGTGTGGCAGAACTTCACAGAGACTTTTGTTCCATGGGACAAGTTATTTTTATTCCTACTGATTCTACTTCATTTTACTGCTCTACTGAGGTCAGTGACATTCCTGCCACCAATGCCAATATGATGCTGCTGAGCCTGGGGCTTACAGGAGGAGAAAAACAGCCTTGGCAAAAATGATTCAGGAGGAGAAGAACAGCCTTGGCAAAAAATAATTCAGTTTAATCCATGTACAGGTATTTTCTAAAGCATCACAAGTCATGTAGAAATGATGCCACATCTCTTCCACCTCCTGAAGGAGTTTAAAGCCCATATCCACAAAGCATATTTAAAATACTTCTCATAGCATCTAAACTCCTTTGAAGCTTTGGCCTTACATCCTCACATGCAGTGCTACATACTTTATTCACAACTACCCCAGAAATCCAACCTTTTTTCCTCTTTGAAACCGTGCTGTACAATTTCCTTCATCTTCCACCACACATCTGTGTGAGGAAGGATTTTACCACACTGTGTTGCCTGCCTAGGATAAAAGTGAATCCCCATGAGTGCAACCCACCCCTTCTCCTCCCAGAAAACAAAACACCCCAACCAGGAAGAACTTCTTGTGCCCCTGAGTGCTAAACCCACCTATTTCCTGGGAAGCAGAGAGACTGACTTCAGAAGGAATAAACTCCCTTGCCTGCATGTTTGCTCTGTGCAAAGAACAACTACTGTTGTTGGCACTCCAAAGGCAACACAGAAAACTTTCTTCATTCATTAGAGGTTTGGGTGCTCCTTGCTCTGCCCTCAAACCAGACCAGCTCTCAACTCCAGCAGAGAAAGGGCTCCAAGATGTCTTGTTCAGCAGCATCCAGGGAAATGTAAAGTTCCTGGCAGGAACAGGATGGACCATACAATGGGCAACTGTAATTGGAAGGAAGTCTGCAGATAGAAAGGCAAATATTAGTTGGCAATGAAAGGGTTGATGTTAGACAGAAAATCAGGCTGATTCCAGGGGTTCTTTTCTAAAAATCATCCCTTCTGACCTAGTGTCACAGCTGACACATGTCAACCTTCTCCCCCAGCATCATTACACCTAACCTCTTTTCTCCACCTCTTGAAGTAAGTCAAGGCCAAGATTGTAGAGGAAACATCTCTTTGGGGTAAATCGCCTTATATTAACCCAAACCACAGTGAATCCTGAACTTAAAGTCACGGTACAGGTGTGAGTTTCATCTCCCCCCGCAGTGCTGGGACACCTCCAATGCAGCTCTTACAAAACAGCTCCATTTCTGTAGGAAAAGTTAATCTTGTTGTACATATAAGACATAGTCACACTGCAACTGTTAAATACCAAAGGGTAGTGTTACAATAGTGTTACAAGAATCTGTGACTGGATACAACTACATCACCCCAGGGCATCATCATCTAAGGAAATGGGGTGAGGAAAAAGAATCATTTCTTCCATCAGACCTCAAAATAAAGTCACTCTGAGCACATTTCTAGCTCTTGTTAGTAAGTCATAGCTTGAATTCCACTCTCAGTGGTTATGAGAAGGATGAGTCTGTGGGTTTGAGAACAGCTTACTGTAAAGCACTGTGTGATTGCAAAATGGAAGTTACAGAAAGGCATGTGGGTCATTTGTGCAACTTGCATTTAGCTGTTCACTCAGGGAGGGCATAAATATTTTAAGCAGTTCATTAGAGAGAAATTAATTGATGCTCTTTGCCTTGCAATAGCCAAAATAAGAAAAGCCAGAATTTCTCTAGCACTGTTTGAACAACACAGAAAAAGCAAAATAATTAAAAAATACTAAGTGAAAGCTTTAAAAAAAGCTTTAAAAATAGTAGATCCAGTGTGTTGTTCTGCAGAGTGTTCAAGGGTTTGGTTTTCTCTCCACACAGATGCTGTGCTGCCAGAATTCCTGGAGTGATCTGCTCCTTCCTCCTTTCTCAGTTCCAGAGTTTGTGCCTCTGTAAATATCAGCTTCATTAGCCCCCCAGGCTGTGTGTGGAGGAAGTATTGAGCAAACACTTCTAGTCCTTAATATATGATTTTAAAAGGAAAAAAAAGTGCCATGAAGGAGGACAGAAAACTAATATATCACCCAATCCAGCTGAGGGGTGGGAGAGATTCCTGCCTGTCATCTCTCTGTCTAAGGAACAACTTCCCCCTCATGTATCACAACAGATAATCTCAAGGGATAAATTAACTCTTATAAAGCCAAAAAGTTACTTTCCACTTCTTCAGGAATGTGAAAATGCTGTTAAAGTTAAAATGACCCAGAGGAAGCCACAACTTGCAGTTCTGCCCCTGTGTTTACACGTGTGGGTGAACAGGGCTACGAAGTCCAGTCATGGCTGTCTGCTTGTGGCCACATAGACACACTGACTGTCAGTCATTACAGGCCAGCAGAGAGGGACAAACTGCTCTGAAGGAAAACCATCCAGGTTTTCCAATTAAAGGCACAGAGTATGTTTAGATCACTAAAGGTGAACTAAGCTGAACAGGAACTTTGCAGTTCTGGTGAAAATGGGATTTTCCTTCTGCTTTTGGACCTATTAGGGTAACAAAACAAATTTCCCATGAATTTCTATCACATCAAATTTTGGGGGTACTTATTTGAATGTGTTGACTCACCTCAGATTTTCATAGAATCATAGTATGTTGAGGGGTTGGAAAGGACTCAAGCCCCTGCCCTAAGCCCCTGCCCTGGGCAGGGACACCTCCCACCACACCAGGCTGCTCAAGCTTTATCCAACCTGGCTGTGAACACTGCCAGGGTTGGGGCAGCCACAGCCTCCCTGGGCAACCTGTGCCAGTGTCTCACCACCCTCACGGGGAAAATTTCTTCTGATATCTAATCTAAATTTCCCTCTTTCAATTTCTCCCTGTTCCCCCTTGCCCTGTCACTGCAGCTCCTAACACAGAGTCCCTCTACAGCTTCCCTGGAGCTCCTTCGGATCCTGGCAAATTGCTCTGAGGTCTCCACACAACCTTCTCTTCTCCAGGCTGAACAGCCTCAACTCCCTCAGCCTGTCCTTGTAGGTGAGGTGCTCCAGTTCTCTGATCAGCTTTGTGTCCTCCTCTGGCCTTGTTCCAAGAGTTCCATGTCCTGCTGATGTTGGGGACACCAGAACTGCACTGAATTTCTACTGATGTTTCCTGATCTTAGAAGCAGTTGCACTACTTTTTGGAGTAAGTCACATAGGCACCACCCTGAGAAAGTCAATATTTCAACTTGACACAATGACAACCTCAGGTTCTTTGCATATTCTAGTTGCATGTTGTGATAAGATACTAAGTAAGATACTTTCAAATCTGTAGCATGACCTGAAACACCATTGTAAAACAGAAACAGTGATTATCCTTCATCCTACACAACCTCCAACAGACTTATTATTTTAGCAACTTACCCAACAGCACCAACATGGTTGGAATGATTTTCCAATACATCTTGTTTTGTAGAGCTGATCTGGAAAACATATAGAAAATTAACCGAGAGCTGACAATTATCAGTCAATTTGATACTCACACCTTTGTAAGCAGAATCCCAGAATGGTTTGGGTTGGAGAGACCTTAAAGCTCCTCTACTTCCAACCCCCTACCATGGGAAGGGACACTACACCTTCCACCAGACCAGGGAAAGGAGGAAGATACCAGAAAGGAAGAACAAAATCAGGATATAATTTAAGGGAAAAAAAAACCAAACTTGCTTAGAATACCAATGAAATACCAATACAGACAGCAAATGCTGGGGCAAGAAATTCAGATTTAGGGAATCCCTCCAAAGTCTTCCATTCCACAAATATTTCTGAGAACAGTGTCCTTGAGAACATCTCTGTGGCCAAAAGAGGTGGTGCCAAGGTTATGTAATCCATTGGCCTTCCAGTTTGGGGCTGCATGTGCTGCAATATATATATATACACACACACTCTGTAATACTTATATATACTGTAAGATATTTATTACAGTGTATATATTTTTCTATATTACAGTACATATATATATACACACACACACATATATGCACTGTATGATGCATCCAGCCTTGACCAGTGCTCAAAGAAGAGGTGATCCAACATCATCCTGAAGCAGGAGACAACTGACCTGTGAATTTACAATATTCCAGGGTTCTTGGCTCTGCACAGGCACTCCCATGAGGGAAACCCTTGCAAATTTAGCTCCTCCAGCACACACCATCTGCATTTTGGTCTGCAAGACAACTCAATCCCATCCACTTCTCTCCCCACTCAGCAGGTTGCTATCAGGGTATATTTTCAGCTACATTTTCAGCAGTTAAAGAGGAAAGCTCAGCTTTTCACAGCCTCTACTTTAAAGACAATTTGCCTCTCAGCACAGCTCTTAGGTGGCCAAGCTTAACTCTACCTCTTCCATTAGTCTGTTCCAAATAGGAGAGCACTGAAGGCCAGAGGAGTCTGGCTATCAAGTCTGTCATTTCACAAAGAGACAAGCAGGAATTATTCCCAAGAGCCTGTAATGGAAGTTATTTAGGTTTTCCCCAAATTTTTGACAGAAGGAAAAAAACCTTTTAAAATAGTTTACTTGCCCTAAGTGTACACTAGTTATACTATTAAATGGTTTAATGAGAAACAGCCCATGTTCCTCTTTCATAGGTGCAACAAGAATTCATTGTTCATAGCTCAACCACTTCTCAGCAAGGAACTGGTGAGATCACTTCCATATGTTGAACAGGACATCAGATATCTAAAAAGCTTCTAAAGTTATCCATAGGTCATGGATCTTAGAGTTTCCCCCATGTAACCACAGATCCCCAAAACTTCAATAGACTACATATAATTTTCCTTCCTTAAGATAAAGGTTTCTCACTTCCTACTGGAAGTGCAAACAGTTCAGGAGGAATTTCTCCCTGGAAAGGGCTGTCAGGCATTGGAATGTGCTGCCTAGGTATGCAGTGAAGTCACCATCCCTGGAGGTGTTCAAGGAATGACTAGACATGGCACTCAGTGCTCTGCTCTAGCTGACAAGATGCTGATGGGTCTCAGGTTGGACTCAATGATCTTGGAGGTCTTTTCCAGCCTCAATGAGTCTGTGATTCTGTGATAAAATATGACCAGATAGAGCAATCAAAGAGATTCTGTTATCAGCACTAATTTAACCATAATTAACATTTGGACCAGAAGGCACAACCACAGTTCAGACCAGCTTGGACATCTTTGGTCAGGCACTGGAATAGGTTGCCCAGTCACCATCCCTGGAAGTGTTTAAGAGGTGTCTGGATGTGGCACTGGAGGATATGGTTTAGGGGTTAGAGCAGTGACAGGTTAATGGCTGGACTTGATGACCTTAGAGCTCTCCTCCAGCCTTGATGGTTCTATGATCTCTTCCTTCTTCTGTCACATATACCTAGGCTGATCCTTGTAAAGGTGTTATTTTTCAATCCTATTTCCAACACCACTCATGAACACAACCCAGTGCTGCACATGGCCAAAAAGCTGCATGTCCCCAGCGTTAGCTCCTTTGCTGTTCAAAGTTCAGCCTTCCTTGTGTAAACTTTACAGGGGAACTGGATAAAAAGAGATATCTACAGATAACTCCCAGGACAGGATGAAAGTACTACTGGACTACACAGGACTTAATCTGTTCTAGTGAGAATACTGAACTTGCCAGAACTAATTTCATTGTAAGAGAGAATACAAGTGTTACAGGAACAGTTACAGGGAGTTAAATAAGGAAAACTGTTAAAACTTATAAGTTTCATCCCAAAGAAACTTAACCCAGCAAGGACAAATGGTATCATGCATGGCTATGGAGGTGTCTATACAAAAGGAAGGAATCAGGGTTTAAAAAAAAAAGGCAAGGAAAACAGCAATGAAAGATCATTCTCTTTGCAGGTCAGCTGAGAAATAGATATGCATGTCAGCATGGAAAATGTTTTCAGCACAGCCTAAAACAAGGAGGACCCACAAACACCTGCACTGGGCTTGAAAAATGCACTCAAAGTTTTCCTTCTCCTTCTGGAGCTGCTTTTTAATTCAGTTTCTTGTCTTGACAATCTTAATTTCTTTCCCTCTTATTCCCATCCTCCCCAAAAACAACAGCTGCTAGTTAATGGGAACAAGGAACATAATATTACATATACACTGTCCTGGACTTTTGCAAGCACTGCACTACAGCTGGTTTTAAACACCTAAAAAGATCTCTATAAAGCATTAAAGTATTTTAGTAATAATGTCTACACACAGCATCTTCTGACCTGCTCTCTGAGGGTGCCGAGAGCTTCCCAGTCCTTTTAGTTTGGGTAAGATTTGCTCTCCTGAGCATGGAATTTCATTGCATTTGTTTGCCAGTATTAGCAAACATTACTAATAAAGAGTTCAGAGTAAGTGGAACACACAAAATAGCAATGAATCTAACTTACATTGAATAATTTTCCTTTCTAATACTAAAGCTTACACCAAGGCAACCCAAGTGGGGCAAAAGCATAGCTACAACACCAGGCTCCAAGCCTGCTGGTAGAGCCTCCGCTCTGAGACTCAACAAAACATCCCAAACTCTTTTGTTTCTCCTAATTGTGCAGTTTTTCTGGACTGCAGTTAAACTTCCCTCTTATTCACAGACATTGCACTACTTGCAGGCAGGTTCCTATCACCAGCATAGGAACCAGCGGTGTTTGCTCCTGCATCTCCACTCCACAGCACTCAAGTTTGTGCCAGGTTACACATGATGTGAGAGACATTAGTTTCACAACCAGTCCCGATTTTAAGTCAGCAACAGGGAAAAGCGTTTAAAACAGAAACTTCCCCTCGGGTTTTTTAGTGATGAATATATACACCCGGTTTTCCTCACCTCCAGCTGCAAGCAGAGCTCCTGTGCTCACCTGGCACTGGGAGGTTATACCCACGTTACAGCCACTTGGTAGTTCAGGGCTCTCCGTGTGTTCATTAATAAACGCTGTGTCACTAATTACCATCAAGTTTCCAAAGTGCTTTTCTCCCAGACCAGGCTATCACAGCTCCTGCAGCATCAGGGACTCACAGCTCACATTCACCGAGCTTTACTTTTCTTTTGCTCAAACGCTGAGTCTGGGAGTAAAACAAAAGGGGGAAAGGGCTGATTTGGGTACACAAAGGGCTGATTTTGGGTGCCTGGATATTGTGAGGGGAAACCCACACTCAGTGCGCGGCTGCGATCATTCTCAGGGAACGTTTCGGGAAATTAGAGGGAGAAAAATCGAGGGGAAAAAAGTAAGTTCACCGACCTGCTTCGCTCCGCTCGCGGCGTCCCAGCCGAGAGA